GTTGAATTGATCTTCGGACCCCCAAATGGGATCGTATCTGATCGAGGTCGATCTTTACCAGCAAATTCTGGTCAAATTTAGCCTATAATAGCCATATAACCTTGAAGCTTTCGACTGCGTTCCACCCTCAAACCGATGGCCAAACAGAACGGATGAACCAAAACACTCGAACACTACCTCCGATGCTACTCCAGCCAGTATGATGCCAACTGGCCATCAATCCTTCCCAAGTGCTCAATTCGCCTGCAACAACGCAGATAATGCAACCACGGGCCAATCACCTCACAATATCCTTTATGGCTTTTCGCCGGACTTTCATATCAGAATCGAGGCCGATTCTCAGCAGCGAGAAGTCCCAGCGGTACAGGATAGGATCGAGAAACTTAGAGAAACGAGAGAACAGCTACAAAAGACATGGCGAATGGCTACAGAAAAGCAAAAGGAACACCATGATAAGCGCAGAAAGCCATTCTACTTCAAAGAAAGGGATCTAGTTAAGCTATCGACTCAGAACTTACGACTCAAAGAACCGAGAAAGCTGGCTCCGAAGTTCATAGGACCCTTTCGGATCCTTAAACGCATCGGATCTCAGGCGTATCGGTTATGTTTACCTGAGAAATATGGACGAATCCACAATGTATTCCATGTCTCCTTGTTGGAACCGTGGAACACTGGAAGAGATCATGAAGAACCGCTCCCGATGCCTGAGCTAGACGACGAAGATGAATGGGAAGTTGAAGAAGTCAAAGACTACCAACGCTATGACGGTCAGGATTACTATCTAATCAAGTGGAAAGGATGGCCGAGCGAGTACAACCAATGGATTCCTAGTGAAAACATGGAGAATGCACCCGAAGCTATAAAGCAATACTGGAAATACCATAAGAAGCGCCATGCGTCAAGGAGGCGGGAGATAACCACTAGTGAATCACTCTACGTTCTCGAGGGATAAGCTACGGGAACGTCAACCTCTTGATATTCCTCATCAACTACATTATCGCGGACCAAATGCGCTAATAGATACAAAATCATCCTGCTATAAGGCGGCAGGGGACGCCCAAACGCATCCAGTCATATCCACCACCTATTCACGAGGCAAACGACGACGATAACCAGGCCCCCTCATTACAACTCAGGAATGTTCACGGGGAAAGTAGACTCCAGGAGGAGAACACGGGGATCCGTGACCAATCCGATGATGCTATCCTCATCATCCGAAGTCGATTCATTATCGTTAACGTCCGGGTATTGGATGCATGCCATAGCTCTCACCGAATCAAGAAAGTTCCGCAGAGCAGAAACCCAGCCCACATATCCCGGATCGCCGGGCAGCAAACGCAACAGCGTTTCCGCCTCATAGGCACGACGATCCTCCAGCGAGGCGCGGAGGCCAGGATGGGGAACCGACTGCGCCAAAAGAGCACGACGGGTCTCAATGAACTTGGTATACTCGGCGGTAAACTCCTAACGGAACGTCAACGATAGGACCACGAAGACCTCATCCCTTGATCATAACGAGAACTTACACGCTTGGCGGTCTTGGTACCCTTCAATGAGAATTCACGAGCATGGGCACCCTCCACACTGTCAAACGCCTTCGCAAGGACATGGACCTCTTCGCGGACAGTCTGCTTAACATCACCGTTCCAATGTTCTTCCTCCAGGATCAGAGTGGCCCATTCGATGATCTCCACGAGATCGCGAGCGTTTCCTAGCAGACCAGTTGCAGGCTCGAGAGATGTCAGTAAATCGTACATGCATAATACGGAGTGTGCGAAACCCACGGGATCACAAGTCTTCTTCCCCGCGGAACAGAAACGACACAGGACGGATGCCTTTGCATCCAACAGACAACTGATATCATACGGAGCGCCCTCCTTAGGATCGAAGTTATTATTCACGTGTCTCAGACAGTGCATGCAGAAGTTATAGCGGGCTTTGATGGGAACATCCCGCTTGGGACGCGCCGTTCCCTTCGCCATCGCGAAGTAATCGAGAACGAGACCGATGTCCGACGAAGAAGGGGATGACAGCGATGCAGTATAGATGGAAACGACGAAGATCACGCGAAACGACGAAGAAATGTAAAGGGAACGATCACAAACCACTAAAGGAACGACGACCACGAAGTAGAAGAGGAGGAGGAAGAGGAGTAACACGAGAGATTCTTTTGTTTACACTTCTTCGCAGGGGATCCACCCATGCAAACACAACACGAGAGATTCTTTTGTTTACACTTCTTCGCAGGGGATCCACCCATGCAAACACAACTAAACACTCATGAAGCTATACAGAAACGGCACGTGACCCTGTTCATACTGTGTACCCCGCGAGTTCCCCACCTTTCGCTATCGGATCCCCACCGTTCCGAATCGGGAACACATGAGGCTATCCCCAACACCCGAGCCAGGTGGCTCGTCCCAGCGGAGGAGGGCGCCATTTGTGATAGAATAAACCAGCTATCGGGATAAAGGTCATCGGGATGACGTATTATAGTGGTTGTGAGAGTCGTGTCATCGGGATGACGTGTTATAGTGGTTGTGAGAGTCGTGAGGTCATCGATAGTGGTTCTACACCTCTCCGGCACCTATAAGGTGCCGATCCCTCTGTAAGGAGCTACTGATCCTTCAAGAATCAGTCTATCTCGTGGATATAGGCTACCTTTATCATTGTCAAACGAATACACGGTGTTTCATGATTGATTCCTTACCTAGTCGACAGGCTTTCTACCCTGACAAGTAGATCCTATCACACTAGAACTTTGGGACTATCTGGCGAAAAACCCGACTGCTAAGCAGAAGCGCGGAGCCGGGCTGGCCCGGATCCAGGAGCTAATAATTAAAGGAGAAGCACGGGGCGTCGCGAAATACAGCCGTCGCCATGTCGAGAAAACCGGATGGGATCTTAACGAACACCTCGCATACTTCGTCCATAATGTGAGATCGGAAAACACGCACAGACGGGGGGGAGTGTTCTTTCAGAAGAACCTCCCTGAGAACATCATGGACACGGCAATATGGACTTTGAAGAACATTCTCATACAGATGCATAGCCCGTCGCAAATAAATAAGCCAAGTGGCGGAAAGGCGATTTTCGGGGAGACCCTGCCAGGTAAGAATTCGGGAGCATTCTGGAAAAGGCTTTCACAGCTGACTCCAGTGATCAAAAAAAATGATAGAGTACAAATCCATCAAAGTGCACAACACTAGGGCGCAGCAAGCGGCCAAGGCAGGGGCTGATTCCGCAGCTAAGAGCAAGGCGGACCCGAAGGAGGTACAAGAACCAGAGTCAGATGGAGAATCATCGCTGTCATCACTTGCAGACACAACCGAAGATGAGTTCCCGGGTCCGTTGGGGGCACAGCAACCACGGACCCAAGTCTGGGAGCACGAGCCGTTGAGTGACCGACAAAGGCTGATCCTCAAACGGCAGTCGGAGACCTTTGATCTTAAAGATCCGTTTTGGGCCTATGCTCGCATAGAAGCCGCCCTGCAGTTATCAGGCCCTCAAACCATAGCACAGGCAGAGGAGATGGTCGCGACTGCTGAGAGTGCTGAAAGTGTGGAAACTGATGATGTCAGTGATACCACACCAAGAAAACCCAAGCGCGTCAAGAAAGCAGTGGATATGAGGAAAATGCTGGACAACCGCGTTTTCGAGTCAAGCGCATACCAGACCGCAGAGAATCTCCAGTGGTCGTTTGATACCAGTACAGATGCAAATGATCTGCTCATCCAACCAACATTGGAGGATTATGAGAGGATCTCGATGCATGAAAAGTGGCTAGACGCCCAGGAGTACCAATTCGATAATCACGAGGAGGCCTGCAGGAACCTGGGTATTGTTGATAAGGCGAACCCCCGAATAAAGGGCATGCAGCGCGGGCAAGAGCTGAAATTTTGGCAGCCGGTCTGCATCAATCGTGTGGCTGAAATCATGAGACTCGATTTGCTGCGTGGCGCCATCATTGCTGATGTTGTCGGCGTTGGTAAGACTTGGGAGGCCGTTGCATTCCTCTTGCATGTGAGTATTCTTCCAGAGATCGGCAGAAGGCTTTTGCAGCTGACACAATATAGCAACTAAACAAATTTAAGCACAAACATGCTGCAGCTGAGCAAGACAAGACAGAGCCTCCAGAGGGCCGTCCTGTGATTATTATTGTCCCACCCCATCTCATCGACCAGTGGATGGACGAGATAATGTCGATAACTGAGGAATTTCAGGTGTTGCTCTACTATGGTGATGCCCGCCGCCAGGTGGGAAGCTATATCAAAGACAAGCTGACAAAAAAGCACGAGATCTTCAAAGGCGGGCTCGAGAGTGCACGTACTATTGTGGTAACCTCATACCAGACATGGGAGGCACGCCATGGCCCCCAAGCAGTAAAAGCTTGGTGTGGCAGCAAGAAAAAGCCATATAACCCCGCCAATCCGCACATGCCCCCAGACTTCCCTGGCAATCTAAATGGACGCTTTGGAGTTGCTGTGTTTGATGAAGCGCATATGCTTCGGAACAGGGAATCGGGTATCTCGTTTGCTTGCACATGGCTACGTGCCGGGTTCCGCATCCTGTTAACCGCCACACCCTTCTATAATGATGTACGCGATTTTCTGGGATACATCGGACTTCTCTTGCGCTCGAATCCCGCTGCAAAGGCAACGTTCACCAGCAGCCGTGTACGCCAGATTGTCGAGGCCCCTCCCGGGACAGAGGACGAGCGGTTGCTCTGCAGCCAGGAGTTTGTCACCAAGCACATCCTTAGTAAGGAGGTACAGGACACGAATACCATTTCTTATCGCTTGAGAAAGATACTGCAGCGACTTATGATCCGCCGAACGCAGGGCTCTGCCCTACCGATTGGGTCCACCAATAAGATCGGAGCTGATATTCCCCCGCCTTTAAGAAAGTGCTAACCCCGAGTTTCGAGCCGGAAGAGTTTGCGGCGTACCAGGCCTATGAAGCCGTGAATCGGCGAAACATCTTCATCATGGACAGGGAGAAACCGAGTCACGCACACTGGCACATGGGCCGGCTCCGCAAGTTGATTATGGGATCATCGTGGTTGGGCTTTATCAATGTGGAAAGCAGCCTGCCCGCTTCTGCTGTCGTGGAGTCCCTCG